AAAAAAACCTGCTTTGTGCTTCTCAATTCGTACTAATCTCACTTTGATAGATAAATTCGCTCTTTTCCCAAACACAGTTGTCACGTCAATCGATGTTTCAAAGCCACCGGTGTAATCCATATCAACCATGAGAGTAATTTTCTAAAAGGAACAAAATGATTACATTATAGTACTAAAAGAAGAAGGAAAGTGTTTAACCTCGAAAATATTTTTATCTTCAGACATTTCGACATTTTCTACCCGTACAGCATTGACTCTTGGAAACTTCGTGCCCAGTGCAAGGTCTCGTATGCGAATTTCCTAGAAACATTACGCTGATGACGCAACACAGTTTTGTAGCATGTGTCAACGTTTATTTACAGAGTCTCGCGAAACAAAAACAAAGTAGAAGGCAAAACATAAGTCATGACTTTCAATAAAGAGAAAAAAACGAGAGCAAAAAGCAGTAACCTGGATAAGTCGACCAGCAGCAGAACGGGTGCTAATGTCATTCAGTTCAATTTGCAAGCGCTTATAGAGCCACCTGAAAGGGTTATGAAGAATAGACCGCAAAAAATATGCCACAAAATACCTCCGAAGCTGTCGCGTATCCTTATGCTCTTGAAAAAACATATGAAGAAGGAGGGAAAGTGAATGAGATGACTCCCATCGAGAAATACCTTGCCCGTCATCACCGGTTTTGAGGAAATCGCGAAGCTCCTGCAACGCTGATAGAGATACTATAGAGAGTGAGAAAAAAGGTGCTACTGCAATAGACTATCTGGTGTGGAATCAGAAAATCTTAGGCAATGCAATGAAGGCTGCCTATACAAACCAACCAAAGCACTGCTATTGCGCAGCCTCAGGACTGCTAATATCAATGCCAAAGTGTTCAGCAAGATAAGGTGCAAATGACAATGCACAAGTGTACGAATAATCTTCCGACATAGAGCACAAGAAACATGAAAAGTCCTGTTTGATCATAAACGGACTCTCGATAAATCGATTTTCCCTTTTGAGCATGAGTGTTGAAGGCTTTGTCATGGAAATACAAAATGTCCAGATTAGTAGCGTCTTATGGCTTTTAGTCTTTCCCGATATGGGCTTCAGAAAACGCGCTCATTTATAACTATCTAGTCACGATGATATCATCGCATTCTTATTCTATCACGCCCAAATGAGAAAAAAGCGGCTTTTTGACTTTCTGTAACCTAAAACTTTGGAAGGGACAAATAAATTTGTAAAGAAAGAATGCTACAAATATTTTACATGTTTTCAGAGAAGATGCTATGCTATAAATTACGAAAAGAC